GCATCAGAGGCGCTGCGGCTTTTGAGGTTAGAGGTCGCGTTTTACTCTGTGTCACAATGGAACGTACTCGAAAGTGTTATAAATGTCCACTGCTTGGTGAATTATATGATATTAAACTCAATATGCTGCCAACATATGAAGATGTCATCAAATACTACGAGTGGACGAGAAGGCAAGTCAAGTTTAATAATAATTCCCAGAAAGAGCCATCATTTTTTGAAATCGCAGAGTTAGTGACTAAAAAAATTGAAGAGATTTGGCTGAAAGCGTCGCTACTAACTGTGACACATGTAAGAGTATGTCAAATGCTAAAATCTTATCACATCAAGTACAAAAACCTTCTCAAATCCCACCCCAAAATACCTAAGAAAAACATTGACACGTTTCAGCGCGACAACAAAGCTCTCTTCGACATTTGTTCCTGCAAATGCAAGGACTTGAGCGCTTGCACCTGCTTTAAAGAACGAAAAGTACCTACTGCTGAACGTGATTTTCTGATTGATCAACGCACCTCTAGAAAAATGATAATAGGAAATGTCGACGTTGCTACTACAAATCAACTCAGAAAGGCACAGAAAAATCAATTGGAACGAGTCGAAGTATCCACAGACCTACAACTTATTTCTTCTTCGTCTTCAATCACCGACGAAACTGATTGTGATGACTTCTTAGTGTTCGAGGAGCCCGGTACGTCTCAGCAAGAGAAGACATACCAGGATATGGATTTTTCTGCGCTTTCGAAGACATGTGACAGGTTTGGAATATCCGACAGGGCAGGAGCTGCTATTGCTTCAGTAGTTTTGAAAACTACAGACACGGCTGCCCCAGTAATTGACAAAAACAAATTGCGCCGGGAGAGAAGCAATACACGAAAAACCATAATATCTAAAGACAAACCCCAACAAATACCCGCATTATATTTTGATGGTCGAAAAGATAAAACTCTCATAATGACAAAAAAGGAGAGAAATATTACAGAAGGACGATACGGGAGGATCATATTTCACTTATTAAGGAACCAGGCTCTATTTACTTGGGTCACGTTACACCAAACTCGGGAACTTCTAAAGATATTATAGTAAAGGCAATTACGGACTACTTTTTAAATGAAAACATATCTATGGGTGATTTACTGGCTATTGGATGCGATGGGACAAATGTAAACGTTGGAAACTATGGAGGTGTCATACGTTTAATAGAAAAACAATTAAAAAAGCCTCTGCAATGGATTGTTTGCTTGCTACATATGAACGAACTGCCACTGCGGCATTTATTCAAGCATATTGATGGCGCTACAACGGGACCGAATACTTTTGCGGGGAAAATCGGAAAACAGTTAGAAAACTGTGAAAAGAAACCCGTTGTAAAGTATCAGGCAATACCGTCGGAGTTACCACAATTGAAAGCCCAAGATCTCAGCACAGACCAGTCTTACCTGTACAGTATTACGTCTGCTGTCTCGACCGGCGTGCTTCCCGAAGATTTAGCAAACAAGTCACCTGGAAAGATGTCCCATGCTAGGTGGCTTACCCGGGCTAATCGGATTCTGCGGCTCTATGTTTCGACAAACTCCCCGCCTAAAGAGTTGGTGATCTTAGCAACTTACGTTGTTAAGGTTTACGCTCCGACTTGGTTCTCTATCAAGACTCAACCCAGCTGTAAGGATGGAGCGAGACATCTGTTTAAGCTCATTTCTGCTTCTAGATACCTCACAGCAGAGCTAAAAGCTGTAATAGATCCAGTAATTATACGGAATGGATATTTCGCTCATCCAAAGAACTTATTACTGGCAATGTTGACAGACTCGCAACAACATATTCGAGAGTTAGCCGCACGTCGTATCCTGAAAGCTCGTACCGTTCCTCGAACAAAATTAAGACTTTTTAAAGTTCCTGCCCTTAAATTAGATGCATCATTTTACGTCGACTTGATTGACTGGCAGAATAACATTACCCAGCCCCCCATTCTCGAGAGTTTGAATGACGAAGACCTGCAGTTATTCATTTCAAAGAGAGGTGAAGGTGAACTGCCTCTTCTACGCCTGCCATGTCATAGGCAAGCCGTGGAACGATCAGTCAAGACAGTAACCCAAGCAGCAAATACATTATGTAGCAAAACTGCAAGAGAAGGCTTTATTAGAGCACAAATAGAGTCTTGCAAAAATATGCCAAAATTCGAGAGCAAACAAGATTTTAGGGTTAACTAAAAAAATAAGTAAATGTGTATTTTACTTTTTTACGCATTTCTTTGTAATAATAAACAAATATGTTCCTAAAGCGTGTGTTTTCAATTTAAAAAATATTTTTTTAACATAATTTACATTGTATTTAGTACTTAGCTTAAAGTCAAATTTTCTTAATTTTACTTAATTTCAAAATCAATCCGGAGGCTAAAGATGATATCCAAGCATTCTGATTTTTTGCATGTGCAATAAGTACATAATAAGGCACCTTTTTTGTGCTATTACGTAAAAAGAAAAGAACTTTTTTTTTCTTCATACATTGGTGGCCCACCCTATGCTGCATATCAATACTATCAATTATCATAGTGCAGGCATAAACCTGTTGCCGAAGGAGAGTAAGTACAGAGCTAACAAGGTCTTTGAATTCATAAAACTCCTCACGGAGTTGATTAAGAAAGGTATTACCTGGTGTAGAAGCAGCCTTTAATCTGTTTTCAAAATCTTGCGACTCCAGCTTCCTTCAAGTTCTCTCTGCAAGACCTCCACATCAGATACTTTTGCCATTGCTTGCAATATTTCCAGTGATATCAGTGAAGTGCCAGTGAGTGATATAGTTTGCAAAAAGAAGTTACACTGATGGGTGGTATGAGTAAGTCACAAATATTTTTATCTGGACATGTATTTCAATATGACTTCCAAAGAAAAGGTAATAAAAATGTAATTAGTAGGTAAATATAGTCCAAACAGTACTTTAAAATAATTTAAATGTAACTAAAATATAAGAGCAAATTAGACAGTTGTTACTTGTTGCACACCTACCCACGAAAGAGACTTTCTGCTTTCATTGCCGGCCAGCAACAAAATATCTGCTATTTTTTCCTAAAATTTTCATAAAAATATAGCATGTACACAAATAATTACTAAATAATTACTTGTAACAGCTTATCGATCGACTTTTTGTTGCTGACTCTATATGGGTTCCTGCTTCCGTTACTGACCAGCAACAAAGTATTTGCTATCTTTTTTCCTATAATTTTTATGTAAATATAGTATGTATAAAAATAATTATATAATAAGTACTTGATGCCGCTTATCGATTTTTTTTATTTTCTTGCTGGCTTTTTATAACTTGCTGCTTCCATTACTGACCATGACCAGCAACAAAATATCTGCTATTTTTTTTCCTAAAATTTTCATAAAATATAGCATGTTTACAAATAATTACTATTTAATTACTTGGTGCAGCTTATTGATCGACTTTATTATGTTGCTGACTTTATATGAGTTGCTGCTTCCGATACTGACCAGCAACAAAATATCTGTTATCTTTTTTCCTATACTTTTCATGTAAATATAGCATATACATAAATAATTACTAACTATTTACTTGTTGCAGCTCGATCTATTTTATTTTGTTGCTGTCTCTTTACGACTTGCTGCTTCCATAACTGAACAGCAACAAAACATCTGCTATCTTTTTTCCTAAAATTTTCATGTAAATGTAGCATGTACTCGTACAAAAATAGTTATTAACTTATTACTTGGTACTGCTTATCGATCGATTTTATTTTGTTGCTTGCTCTTTATAACTTGCTGCTTCCATTGCTGACCAGCAACAAATTATCTGCTATCTTTATTCCTAAAATTTTCATAAAATTATAGCATGTACACAAATAATTATTAACTTCTTACTTGGTGCAGCCTATCGATCGATTTTACTTTTTTGCTGGCTTTTTATGACTTTCTGCTTCTACAACTGACCAGCAAAAAATATCTGCTACCTTTTTTTCTATAATTTTCATGTAAATATAGCATGTACACAAATAATTACTGACAAATTACTTGGTGCAGCTTTTCAGTCTATTTTATTTTGTTGCTGGCTCTTTATGACTTGCTGCTTCCATAACTAAACAGCAACAATATATCTGTTGTTCTGTTTTTTAATCTCCCGTATAGGCAGCATTTATTTGTAACTTATTACTTGATACATCTTATCGGCCGATTTTATGTTGTTTTAGGCTGTCTGGTAGTTATTGATCTAATTAATAATAAGCTGCAAAATTTTCATTCATTTGGAACTTCAGAACCAGTTTTAAAACATAACTTGATTTTTATTATTATTTTTTTTTAATTTTTTTTTTTAATGTTTGATTTTTTAATCATTTTATTGCATTGCATTTCAGCAACTAATTTGCAACAAATTATACCGTTTTATCCGCTAAGGCGGGGTTGATTGAAAGTTTTTACTGCTATCTTAATGTAGAGATAGCAGTAAATCAATTTTCTCAAAACCGGTTGGAGCAATAAAATCGCGATTTGGCAACTAGTTAGCAACAAATTAGCTACAAATTCCTAGGTAACATTTTAAGGTTTCTGATGACTTTTCACTGCTAACTTTATTCAGCTTTCTACGACAACTATGGGATGATATGGAGTAGTGGAGATTCTTAGTTCGCAATTACACTGAAACAGCAACATCTTTATTTATTGTTTTGGATTTTTTTTTAAAACGTTATACCCTAGTAAATGTGAAATTTTTACTTAATGGTGAAAAGTCTAAATTTGTAAAAAAAGCACGTATGACAATTCACAATGCTGTGTTTATCCGTATCATAATGTATGTCAATCACTGAGTTGGGTGTGTCAGAAGAAACTGAAGCAAAATTAATGCCGCGGAAATGCGGTCATTAAGAAGTGTGTTAGGGCTGACTGAGAATCATAGAATGAGAAATTGTGCAATAAAAAATTGTATATAAGAATTTTAGCCCTTATGTTACTTTATTTAAAATGTTACATTTTTAAATTAATTTATTTTCAGATTGCAGAATACGCACTAGCGAATGATTATAGCAGAGGTATAATATTGATTGTAGACTTTTTGGACACTAATCTAATAGAAATAATAAAGTTCCTGGACCTCGTTGAATTGCACCAAGCTATAACATTACTAATTGTGAGTATAGATTTAATTTATTTCATTACTACAAATGAAAAGTCGTATCTTTTCGAATTTATGATATTTTTGGTCTTTTCATTTATAACTGCGTTTTAATTTTTTTACGCTTAAAGTGTCAGAGGCCGTAAGGGAGGTTACCCGATACCAGCAGGCGCTAATGTTAACAATGATATATTTTTAATTTTGTATGCCAGCTATATATAAAACTTACACGCATCGATTTGTATGAATTAAGCTATTTAATGTTACTTTATAAATATTTTTTATAACAATGTATCAAAATAATAAAAGTACTTCTTATTTGTATTTTGCTACTAGTAACGCCATCTCATGTGCAATGTAGACAATATATTGTATTAAGTATATTTATGGTACTATGCCAGTTTTATATAAGATTTGTATGATTGTCTATGTATACTTTAAAAAATAAAACCAGTCTGTTAGCGACATTCACGTGTTTAATTATAGGTTATGGGCCTATCCCAGAATTATCAGTTTTTTTTTGTTCTAAAATAGATAGTTAGTGAAAGTTGTATGGCGGAAACATGACTACGAGCTATATTGCCAGTGTTCCTAAATTAAAAGGAAGAGAGATTTATGATGAGTGGAGCTTTTGGTGCACGAAGGGATGGGCAAGTACATCAAATCGACGCCAGATTTTGAACTTAAGCTTGTGGACGATGCAAAAACGAAGGCAAAGCTAATATTGACTATAGACCCGTCATTATACTTACTTATTAAGAACACCAAGAGCTCAAAAGAATTATGGACTACGTTGAAGACCATGTTTGATGACTCCGGTTTCTCGAGAAAAATAACCTTGCTGCGACATTTGATATCCATTCGAATACAAAACTGTGATTCTATGGCGACATATGTGACTCAAATGGTCGAGAGAGCACAGCGGTTAAATGGCACGGGCTTTACAATAACAGACGAATGGGTTGGTTCACTATTATTAGCAGGTTTGTCTGATCGTTATACACCCATGATCATGGCAATTGAACATTCGGGTATTTTGATAACTGCAGATGTCATAAAGTTGAAATTACTTGACATGGACTAGTGACAATAACAGCGCCAGAAACGAAGCTGCATTTGTCGCGCGAAATAAATTTTACTCTGGCAACACTAAGCCAAAGAAATATGGCGGTCCCTCATTGCCAAATAAGGAGACGGAGACAGCAATGACAGATTCATCTACGAAGATAATAACTTGCTATAAATGTAAAGAGGATGGTCATTATCGAAATCAGTGGCCGTTATTAAAGAAAAATAATAGAAAATGCGTATTTAATGTCGTTTTTCTGAACGGAAAGTGTAACAAAACAGAGTGGTGCGTGGATTCAGGAGCAAGCGCACATATGACGGCGAACGAACCTTGGATTAAAAACATGAAATCCACACCGTGGTTACCTGAAATTGTGGTAGCAAACAAATCAAAAGTGCCAGTGGTTTGTTCCGGAAACGTCGACATTGTTTTTGACTTAAAATTCGACATTACGGTGAAATATGTGCTATGCGTGCCTAGTTTGACAACAAAATTATTATATGTAACTGAGCTTATTAAACATGGAAATAACGTTAGTTTTGATGAAAAACACTGCTATATACAAAACAAAAGCAATGTTTTGGTAGCCACAGCTGATATCGGATGGTGTATATAAGCTAAGGTTAGACACATGGAGTTGTATGTTGGCTACACCGGTGGCAAGTGGCAAACTATGGCACAGAAGGTTGGCGCACATCAATAGTCAGGACATGAATAGAATGAGAAATATGGTGGACGGTTTGTCAAACGAAAACAATTTCGACATTACCAAGTCTCAGTGTACTACTTGTTGCGAGGGAAAGCAAGAAAGATTACCCTTTTCGCATGTGGGTAAAAGAAGCACAGAGACGCTACACAGAATTCATACAGACCTTTGTGGACCGATGGAAACTAGTTCACTAAATGGTGCACAATATTTTATACTGTTTGTTGATGATTTTAGTAGAATGATGTTTATATATTTTTTTCGAAAGAAAAATGAAGCATTTACCTTCTTCAAGATCTTTAAAACAATGGTGGAAAATCAGTTCAATAAAAAGATTAAAATACTAAGGTCAGACAATGGACTAGAATATACTAACATAGAGTTTGAGAATTATTTAAAGCAAGAGGGCATAATTCATCAAAGATCGAGTAATTATACACCTGAACAAAATGGTCTATGTGAGCGAGTTAACCGTAGTGTGACTGAGAAGGCTAGATGTCTAATGTACGATGCAAAGCTTGATAAAAGATTTTGGGCAGAAGCAGCAAACACTACTGTCTATTTAAAAAATAGTTCCATTGCATGGGGACTTCACAAAACTCCATATGAATTGTGGTATAAAAAAAACCAAAACTAAGTCACATACGTTTATTTGGTTGTAAAGTCATGGTACATGTCCCTAAGGAAAGTCGTTTGAAGTAGGATAAGAAGTCTGCGGAACATATATTAGTTGGCTATAGTGAAGATATTAAGGGCTACAGATTATACAATCCTGTCAAGAAAAATCTTATTATCAGCAAATATGTTATCTTTATGGAAGAAGAATTGGGTACCGAAAAATATGTCAGGAGTCGGCTATCTGGGTTCCTAACAAAGAGCCACCTGCAGTTAGCATACAGGAGGAGGTGGATGCAAATTCAGTGGGGGAAGCATCACAGAATTTTTTAGACTCTGAAGACTACCATTCAGATTCTTCGGTGTATACTGATGGGAATGAAACTTTGACTGAAATCTCAACTACAGATGACTTAGTACAAGAAGCCCAGATGACATCAACTCCAGAGAAGGAGCATGTTTTGTCTAGTAAGCGTCCCAGAAAAAAACCTGATCGGTATGGTTATATGTATCTTTCCAGTACTGTTCCAGCATCCGATGAGATCGTGTTCTCAGAGGCTCGCGTGGGGCCTGAGAGTGAGCAGTAGAATAGTGCCATGGCCGAAGAGCTGCAGTCATTTGACGACAACAATGCTTGGGAGCTCGTTGATAACCCAGGTAATGTGTCAATTGTGAAGTGTAGATGGGTACTCAATAAAAAGTTTGACAATAATGTACGGTTCCGGGTTAGACTTGTGGCTAAAGGTTTTTCACAGAAACCTGGCATTGACTATACAGACACTTTCTCTCCAGTTGTAAGACATTCCACACTTAGATTATTATTTGCTCTCAGTGTTAAGTGGAATATGAGTATTGATTACTTAGATGTAACTACAGCTTTTTTAAATGGTTTTTTTAAATAAACTATTTACATGTCAATACCTGAAGGTTTTGTGAATAAAAGTGGGGGAAAGCTTTTGAAATTAAATAGAGCAATCTATGGATTAAAACAATCTTCTCTGGCAAGGTACGACAGAGTCGCAGATTTACTCTGTAACTTGGATTTCATAAATAGTCAGTATGAGCCTTGTTTGTTCACAAAAACAAAGGGTGAAATTAAAATTATTGTGGTCCTATATGTTGACGATTTTTTAATTTTCTCTAATAATTCTCTTGAAACTGATAATTTTAAACGTGTTTTGGGTGCAGAATTTAAATTAAAAGATTTGAGACCTGTAAGACATTATTTAGGCATGAGAATAAATTTAGATAAAAATAAGAAAGTAATAACTTTAGATCAACAACAGTATATTGAACAGTTAGTTTCTATATTCAATATGTCAGATTGTGAAACATATAAAACTCCAGTTGAATGTAAATTAAATGTTAAGAAGGCTGATGAATGTGTACCTGATCTTCCGTATCAAAAGTTAATTGGATCATTGATGTATTTAGCTGTACTAACTAGGCCAGACATATCCTATTCTGTAAAGTTATCTGAGCCAATTTAATAGTGGTTATAATCATACACATTGGCATTATGCTAAACGAATTTTAAAATATTTGTAATATACGAAAACCTATAGTTTAAGATTTTGTAAGGATGATAACAAGTTACAGGGTTTTGTAGATAGTGATTGGGCTAGTGACGCTTTAGGCAGGAAGTCGTATACAGGCTTTTGCTTCACAATGTCTGGATCTGCTATTTCAAGGCAAAGCAAGAAACAGAAGACGGTATGCCTTTCCAGTACAGAGGCAGAATATACTGCTCTATCTGAGGCAGCTCGGGAAGCAGTGTAACTTAGAAATCTTCTTTATGAAATTATAGGTAGTTTTTATGTGATTGAGCTTTATTGTGACAATCAAAGTGCATTAAAATTGTCAATAAATAATCAAAGTCACAATAGATCGAAACATATTGACGTGAAATATCATTATGTAAGAGATGTTGTTAAGTGTAAATATATAAATATCCTATATCTATGTACTGAAGAAATGACAGCTGATATTCTCACTAAAGGTTTATGTCCTGTTAAACATTATAAATTTCTGCGTAAATTGAGAATTGTGCCAAAATAATTTTATTGGTTTATTTTGATAAGTGGGGGTGTTATAACAATGTATCAAAATAATAATAGTACTTCTTATTTGTATTTTGCTACTAGTAACGCCATCTCATGTGCATTGTAGACAATATATTGTATTAAGTATATTTATGGTACTATGCCAGTTTTATATAAGATTTGTATGATTGTCTATGTATACTTTAAAAAATAAAACCAGTCTGTTAGCGACATTCACGTGTTCAATTATAATATTAATAGATTTGGTATTTTTAGTGAGTTAAACAAATACTTACATTAAATGGACAAAAATTTTAAAAATAGAAAATGGAAAAGTTAACCTCTCTTTGTAGCAAAAAAAGTAAGATTACCTCATAATATAATACACAACACACAGAGTTGTGATTTATTTTTTTAATTATGTTGCGAATTGCAAAGTTTATGCTTATTGCAAAATTGCCCTGCCCTTTTAAATTTTTCATACAAATTTGATAATGTGTTTCAGGGTTGTCAAAAATCCTTGATTACGTACCTTACTTAATTTTTTTTTTAATCTTGTCACAATAATTTCTTATGCAAAACTCTATAATATATCAAACCAAAATTCCCTCCTGTAAAATTAAAAATCAAATCGGTGCAATAATAAGCTTTACTCAGTTACATCGTGGATAAAAAAGCTTGTAACACTTATTTTTAACAAACATCCGTGTTTTTTTTTATTAGTTAAGACCGATATGTTAAAATGATATATGACATTTCCTAACCATTAATATTACCTTACTATAAAAATTTAGATATACCTACATCAAGTATTTCAAACAAAATGAACAAAAGTTCTGGATCACTGAACAAAGATGTTATTACGTCGGCGCAATTTTTCGTCAATAAAAGGTTTTGAAATATTCAACAATATGTTGTGGTAATACTTTATGAAATCTAAATTCTTTAGAACATATATTCTGTGTGAGTAAAAAAGTCTCGGCGTTACTGGAGAAGTTTTAAATGATTCTGTATTCAAGATTGGAATATCAGTGAAATATTTACCGAAAACCGCTGATCTTCCTGATTTGATTTCTGAGAAATAACGTGAGAGAAAGGAAATTATCGTGAGGGAACTTCCATGTCAGAGAAATTAAAAATATTTTAAAGACATGTAAAGTACGTCAACCAGCTTTGCGGCAGCGCGGCGGACATAACATTGCCCTAAATCGTGCTCAGACCTGATAGGAGGCCTTTCCCTAGCACTGAAATATATTCAGTAAAAGTTATAGGTAGTTACAACTTTTACTTTAGGCTTTTACATTTAAGACAGTATTTGTATATTTATACAAAAATACTACTATTTTGACTTACTACTTACTTCATTTTCTTCCCTTTACTTTGTGTCATTAGAAAAAATATATGTATAACGTAACATTATAAGATTAAAAGTCCATAAACTAATTTGGAATATTAAACAAAATGGTACAGAACGAAAATCTACGTTTTTTTGCTCTCATATTTACGGTGTTGTGAATACAGTAATAGATTCTATGACATCGATAACATATAACATTCAAAACCTTGAATATCTTTAGTTTAATTCGACAAGGTTATGCTGTCATGACGAGCAAATATATAATTTATCAGAAAACATTTTTTTCAGGATGGCTACGCAATGAGAATAAAAGCTATACATGCAATTACTCCCTCAAAAACTGTGGAAACAATAATTGCATTATTTAAACAAATTGTCAGTGCAAAATTAAGTCAACGCATTCAAATACACAAGGATTTGGAATCACTGTACAAGGTTGTCCAGAGAGATGTGTTACCAGAAGAGCTAGGCGGAAATGAGAAATCTATTGCTAAATTACACAGTAAGTATGACATTTTTACCCTATTATTTAATTATTATGACATCTTATTTATGAGAACTATATACCAAATTAACGATAATATCGCCGTGGATTTACGGCACATATTTTAGGTCCATTTATTTATTTATTTATTCTATTTTATTGAACTTTACAAAATAATATAGTAGCCAGTCAATCTTAGGTCAGTAATAACACTACTGAGAAGATTAGAGAACATATACAAAAATAAGAGAATGAAAGTGGGTTGAGTATGAATGAGTTACTCGTCAAATGGTTTCTCTATATGCTGATGACCAAGTATTACTTGCGTCTTCGGCCGAGGAGTTGCAGGAGATGGTAACTGCTATGAGTGGAGCATTTGTTAGAAAGGGAATGAATATGAATGTAAGGAAGACGAAAGTGATGGTGTTTGAAAAAGATGCGGCAGTGACAGACTGCAATATCGTGATTGAAGATGAACAAATTGAACAGGTGAAAGAGTTTGTGTATCTGGGTTTAAAGTTTACAAGAAATGGAAAAATTGAGAGTGATATTGAACGAAGAGTGAATGCAGGAAACATGGTGAATGAAGCTTTGCACTGCTTTATGAGCAGTCGGAAGGTGTCTAATAAGGCTCGTTTGGCTGTGCATGAAAGGGTGTTGGTTCCGACACTCATGTACGGAAATAAAAGTTGGGTATGGCAGAAGAAACATGAAAGCAGAATAAATGCAGTTGAGATGAGATCATTAAGAAGTATGATAGGATTTAAACTGAGTGACAGGAAAAGAAATAGTGAGATAAGGAAACGTTGTGGTCTGAAAGAAGATGTAGTGACAAAAATTGAGAAAGGTATGCTGAGAGATGGTTTGGACATGTCAAGAGAATGAATGAAGAACGATTGACGAAAAAAGTGTATAAGGCAAGTGTGAATGAAAGTTGGAAGGGGTAGACCTAGGCGGACGTTTCTAGACCAAATCAAGGACGTCTTTAAAAAAGACCAGGTCAAGAGTACCCTAAACCGTAGAGCATGTATGAAGAGAATAATGAAAGTGGACGAAGCGAAACAAGTATGTAAGGATCGTAGCAAGTGGAAAGAAGTGGTCTCTGCCTACCCCTACGGGAAAGAGGCGTGATTATATATATATATATATGTGTGTGTAAAAATAAACATACACACATCTCAATTATTCCTAAGAAAATGAAATAACGATTTCTTATATTTACGCGAACAGTACACAATACTTAAATAATTAAATACCTTCAGCTTTTTTAATTATTAGTTTTGGTCCGATCTACGCAGAAAGAGCTTACAGTATCTTGAAGTCTTGCAGTGGTATGCTTGGGTTTGCATTTAACTTTATTAATTATAGGATCCCAAGCAGATGACAGCACCTATCCATCTTCTCTATTGAAATTAGGTTATTTTTCCACGCGGGTTTTTATAGATCTTTTTGTTTGTCCTATGAAAGAGAGACCACATTCACAATCCAGATTGTACATCCCTGCATATTGTAAAGGAATATGACACTTGAGGGATGGCAAAAATTGACTAATCTTCTTCCGCGGAATGTAGTATGTCCTAATGGAAGCTCGCTCCAAGATGTCCTGTTGATGATCCTGTTTCAGAGAAAAATTAGTTTCATTTAATGTGTAGTCTTCGCGTAAGTATAAGAAATCGTTAAGTTATTAATTACCGTATAGTAGCCGTGTATGAATATCCATACCATACCGTGGATCTCGTAAGAGGTGACTAGACTTGAGTAAAAGTTTTATTTTTAAATAGCCGGACCGGACGACGCAAAAAAATCGACTACAGCACATAAAGGCTTTTGTAACTGCTTTTGTTGCTTAATATTTAGTCGATTAATACAACATTTTAAAATATATCGAAATCGATACGAATTCGATACTCTAAAATAAATATTAATTTATGACGACAACAACGTTATATTAAAAAATTTCTTCCTCTCCGTTGCTGACATCGGATTAGTGTATTTTAGTTGTTTCCATATAGCATAATTTTCTTTGGTATTTCACTATGCGGAATGGCAGCGGACATCAGACAGCAGTTCGTGCCATTTATAACTTGGGAGCCCTTGGTTTAAAGGAATAATTTAAAGAGTCCAGCATATTAACTGTTGCGTGACAATACATATACCCAAATATATAATCTGTAAGAAAAATATACTTACATGTGTATTGTAAATATAGTGATATACGTGATTTTAAGGCTGGGTGTTCCTGTTTTTGTCCGTTTTAAAATATTTGTTTTTGATAGCCAAATTATTACATTTAGAATCTGAAACCAAAAACTATTTTAGATACATTATTTCTCCTTACGATGTACCCCGTCAAAACACATTTCAGGACAATTGTTTCGACAGAAAAAATTACCGAACTACGTTCGATTTGCAGTTTTTTACAAGTTAAATTTCATTTTAAACAAGAACTAATACTCCTTTTTTCTATAAAAAATATCAATTTATACGTAATTCATTTTGGAAAACAATCGTAGGATAGGATAGAATATAGCATAGTTTTTTTTGTCGATACATTTATAAAAAATCACATCGATTATTCAGGTTACTTACTTGTGAGTTATGCCCGTGCCAAATTTATGCGCGCGTGCTTCTTTTCCGCTACGTAAATAATATTTAGAAAATAAAATAAACTGTAAATAACTTTAGTTTTATGGAAATTACATAGACTATAGTTAAGTTTTTGTTTGTGGGTTTTGTGTAAGTGTAAATACTATTTGTTTATAACTTTAAAACAATATTTTTATGATTATTTTGTAAAAATCATGGTCATATGCGCAGACCGACTCGATCTTTGCGATGACCGCTTATATATATGAGCGGTATATAAGCGGTACGGTTATACATTGTCTCTGCCTAACCCTCTGGGGGACAGGCGTGAATGTTTATGATTATGATGATGAAACAAAAATGAACTTCCAACCTCAATTCTTCGGATTTTTATTTTTATGTTTTAATTTATTTCTAACAGCATTGTATTAGATTTTTGCTGAAAGAAATTGTTCTTTATGTTTTATAAGTACCATAATTAACGTATTTTTCCCTGCAGAAGAATGGGTAGATGTTCTTAGTTCAAAGGATTTCCAAGAATATTACAGCGAAATGAAAGCAGCATCCACAAAAGAAAAGTACAGATTGACTGATAAATTTAAAGAGGAGTATATGGGAATAGCAGGCACATTTAAAACTTTAAACGTAGATTAGTGATTTTGAACACCTTTTAGTTAAAAAAAGATTATTTTTTTAGCGTTGTATAATGGTGTTGATAGGTTAAGTGTGACATGTATGTAATACGCAAATAAAATTTATTAATCTAATAATGATGTTTCATTTTGACACATTAACCACGCCTCAATAGTTATAAAAAAGGTTGGTCAAATCGTACCAGACGACGAAACGATGGCGTCACTATATGCCATATTTATGAAAAATATCCTTATTTTTGAAGGTCTTAAAAAACACTTAAAAATACCTCTCTAAGTAGCCACAGAAAAAAGTTATCCTTTTATTTTTGTTTTTGTAACTGTCACGAAATTATTTAAAATAATAAATTATAAATCTGTCTCTAAAATAGGGTGTATTTCCAACGCGTATGAAATTCTCCATTGTTAAACCTATGTATAAAAAATGAGATAGGCAAGACGTTGAAAACTACCAACCATAACTCTTATTCCTGTGCTTTCAAAAGTTTTCGAAAAAATAATGCATGAAAAAATATATTTTTTTCTTAGCGCTTTTAACATTCTAAAACCAGAACAATTCGGTTTTCGAAGAAACTGTTCAACAACATTAGCATATTATGAACTGATTAAAATTATAACTGAAAGCTTAAATTCACGAACTCCACTTTTAACTTTATTTCTTGATATGAGCAAAGCTTTTGACTTCGTGCCACACACGTTCGTTCTTCTACTAGATAAATTAGAAAGGTATGGAATAAGAGGAACAGCCCAAAACTGGATTGAGAGTTATCTTAAAAATCGTAAGCAGTGTGTTGAAGTTACAAAAGTCATAAAGAACACAAACATATCAAATCGCTCCTAATATTTTACAAACAGTTTTGGTGTTCCACAAGGCAGTGTACTGGGACCTTTGCTGTTCTTGATATACATTAATGATCTTCCTGACTTTTTGGCATTTTATTCGCTGATGATACTACTCTTGTAGTTAAAGGTAATGACAGATCTGCACTTGAAATCGCAGCTAATGGTGCTCTAAATGAGGTCATTCAATGGATGAATATAAATAATTTAGATATAAATATAAATAAGACGAAATTTATGTAATATAAAACCCTCAAAAACATTTCAAATGACATTAAACTCTCATATGACAACTCGATAATTGAAGAAGTCGTTTCCACGACATTTCTAGGAATAATATTTGATGAATTTTGTAGTTGGAAGCCTCATATAGAAAGCCTATGTACTTAAATAGTTCGTTTCGTTTTTGCATTGCATAGACTAAGCAATATTGTATCAGAAAGAGCTGCACTGATGGCATATCATGGATATATCTCATCCATACTACAATATGGTGTTCTACTCTGGGGGTATTTGGTGGATTCGGATAAAGCATTTAAACCACAAAATCGCTGCAAACCTTTGTTCAAAACTAAAAAGATCCTGCCTTTGCCTTCATTATACATATTTGAAATGTGCATGTTTGTTCATAAGCATCCACATTTATTTCAACGTAAGTGTGATGTGAGTGAAAGTAAGGGTAGATACAAGAATAGGTTATATGCACCAGCAAATCGTCTAAAAGTTACAAAAATAAATGCTTCTGCAATGTCGATAAGAATTTATAATAAATTACCTGATAATTTAAAGCGTAAAAGTTTATTGTCATTTAAGAAATCTGTTTTGGCATTTTTGCTCACTAACTGTCCTTATTCTGTAGAAGAGTTCTTAAACGACAACGAACTACATACTAAGTCGAGTAATGAATGATAATTAATTTTTTTCATTAGATTCTAATGTTTAAAAAAAGAATGAATTTGATATTATTTTATATAAAATTTGACTTATGTATTTAATTAAATTAATTAATAATTTTGATATAAAAATAGAAAGAAATTAATGACAATTATTTAAGAAAATATGTAACATTATAATATAATTATTGACATAAAATAATAATTAATATATGACATTGACCTGTAATAATAATCTCACTTGATATAATAATACTTACTTATATATTTTGATGGCATTTTTCTGATACTGTGGCATAATAAATTAATTATCAAATCAACTGAATAATATTAAATAATTTTAGTTTAAGTAGCTTCATAGTAAGCTAAGCGTTTTGTTCAATTACGTACAACGGAACATCATTTGTAATCGACAACTTATATATTCTGTGGTCATCGATCTAAACCATTCATTGTCACCCGGCAATCATTCGCATCATCTTATTTGCTTCACAAGTTGTTGTGGATTGTAATACGTAGGTACTGTACTGTTTTAGATTTCCTTCTGTTGTTTTGACATCGGCATTGTTTTACGGACTGATAACTACCAATTGTAACGATTATTATATGCTTTTGATTTTTGGACACCGATTTTGCATCTTGGATATTTGTGAGAGACATCATGCAGACCATAGGACTACACAACAAGGACAACTAGCCCTGCGATTGCTATGTGTTAATTGTAACATATGCATTGATACACTTCGCCACCATCTCGTTTTTGAGCTTGACACCAGAGTAATTTTTAAGATCTGCGAGTGGAATTCTTCAACAATAGTACATATTTACATACCAACTTATTTTATTACACTAATATAAACCATCACACACAATCGCACATTATAATAGAAATCTAATTCTTATTTTAGATCACTAAATAAGATGCAGCGTCTCAGCGATGGAGTGAATTTTAAAGAGAAATGTATGCGTGTGATGATCTTAGCGAGGGATGCGGGGAAGACGCCGTGACTGGTACGCCAGACCCGGACCTCGATGACACTGAGGTCATCAGTATGAAAGAGATTGAACGTGCGATTCGAAGTTTGAAATGTGGTAAGGCTGCGGGACTAGACGGAGTTACTGCTGAAATGGTCAAGTATGGTGGGCCTCGCGTCTGGGACAGCTTTCATCTGCTGTGCAATTTGTGCTGGCGGACGGGGGATGTCCCGGATGATTGGCGACCCGCAGTCATTGTGCCTTTATATAAAGGTATAGGTTCATATTTTGACTGCGGGTGCTATCGGGCGATCAGCTTGACCAGTTTAGCAAGTAAAGTTTACTCGAAGGTTTTGACACGTAGGATGCAAGAGAAATCGGAAAGATTTCTATGGGAGGCACAATGCGGATTTAGACCTGGAAGAGGATGCATGGATCAAATGTTTTCTCTCCGCATGATCACGGAGAAGCTTCTGGCTGCTAACCAGAAGATTTTCTGTGATTTTGTGGATCTTGAGAAAGCATTTGATAAGGTTGTAAGGAAGAAAATGTGGGAAATGTTGCCGGGGTATAGGGTGGATGGTCGATTGCCAAGGGCTGTGCAGTCCCTTTACTGTGACTCTAAAGCCTGTTTGCGGGTAGGGCATGACCTATCACCCATGTTTAGCGTCCAAACGGGCGTAAAACAGGGTTGTGTCATGTCTTCCTGGCTGTTCATACTGTATCTCGACAGCTGTTTACAGAAGCTGAAAGATAGCTGTTTGGGTGTGAAATTGGGTGAAATTAAAGTAAATTGTCTGCTGTTTGCTGATGATGCAGTGCTTATTGCACCATCAGAGGCAGAACTGCAGGCATTAGTCACGTGTATGAAAGGGGAATGTGAAATTAAAGGTCTCCGTTTGAATGCTAATAAAACTAAGGTTCTGGTATTTGAAAGGGACGAAGAGAGAACGAAGTGTGAAATATGGGTAAATCAGGAATGTCTAGAACAGGTAAATGAAATTGTATACTTGGAGAGTGCTTTCAGCCGGGATGGAAAATGTGATTTAGATGTGGACACGCGTGTCGCTGCCGGGAACAAAGTCAATGATGCCCTGACTGCGTTAGTCAAAAGGAAAGGCGTAGTGAAGAGTGCACGCCTTGCAATATATAACGCAGTGTTGGTACCGATTTTGTTATATGGCAGCGAAACCTGGGTATGCCAGAAGAAGCATAAAAGTAAGTTGAATGCAGTGGAAATGCGATCTATTCGTAAAATGTGCGGCGTTACCATGGCCGACCGAAAGCGAAACGAAGAGATTCGCAATATGGCAGGTTTGAAAGATAACCTTATCGCAAAAATTGATAAGGACGTGTTTCGATGGTTTGGGCACGTTGAGCGAATGAGTGAAGACCAAATGGTGAAGAAAATATATAGCGCGAAAGTAAATATTAAAAGGTGTCGAGGTAGACCGAGACTAACTTTCGAAGACCATGTGAGCAAATTGCTCGAAGAGGGGAGGGTCAAGAGTACTTGGATACCTAGACGTGCATGTATGAAGAAGATAATGAGTCTGAAAGAAGCGAAAGAGGTATGTGAGGATTGTGACACTTGGCGATCTGTTCTCTCTGGCTATCCCGTCAGGGATTATGCGTGAAGATAAGTAAGTAAGTACTGAAGAAGATTACATATGTGACCCTAACCTCAAAAGTATTATTGACGTTATTATAAAAGTTGTGGCTATTTAGATAGGATTTTCAAACGGGATGGTGTTTACAACATAAAAATAAACCAATCTAGCTACAGTTTATTTGGGACCAGCCAGCTCCTATAGAAATTTGGCCATTGTTCTTTGTACCTTGTATAGTAAATATTAAAAGGTGTCGAGGTAGACCGAGACTAACTTTCGAAGACCATGTGAGCAATTATTGTTAATAATTTGTGTTAGATTAGGTAAGATAGTTTAAATAAAAATGTCAGTTACTGTTATTCCAGTATATTTAGATTTAATTCCTAGATGTGTAAATTGCTCAATTTATTCATTTCAAAATGTGAATACGTTTTATTAAATTCATGAGTCGATAATACTCCAATTCAAATTTTTTATAGATTCCATGCCCTAAGTAGTAAGCTTAGTGATAGAGCTGCGACTTTTCTTAGTGATAACCCTTGTTTAAGTAAGTGGGAGGATTTTAAAGAAATTTTGACCCAACATTTCGGTGACCCTCGTTCAGAAAAATGTATTTCTATCGAGGTACAATCTCATGAAATCAAACAACGATCATTTATTCAGTTTTGAAGTAGAATACAAAA